TATTTTGTTTCCACAGCTGAAGCACACCTTAAAAAATTTAAGTGACAGCTAGGAAATTAGATTGGTAGCAAAGTGAATACTGTTTGTAGGTGACCTTCTTCCCAGTTTTGGATCAGATAGTTCAGTTGACTGAGATATTTAGCTTGAACAAATTCCATGTGCTGTTTCTTGGACAAATTTAACATGCTATTTCTTGTTTACTGATGAAGATGGAATGATTCAGTTACCTAGACTTTTAGAAATTCACTCCACTCATGTAGAAATCTGAATTGTTTGTTTCTCACATGTAAGGATCAATTTGGTAACTGATACCAGAAGGTTTTGGGATGCAAAAAGGAAATATACTGGCTAGGTAATAGCTAGTAAGAAAAAGGTAGCTGGAAAAATATCCTGACATAGAAAATCAATGACTGAAGTATTTCTAATATCACTGTCAAAATCCAAGTTTATCAAAAGGAAATTTTTTCCCTCTCCTTGCAAAAGTGAGGCTACAAAATGTTCAGAACAGGTTATCCTTCTATTTGGCTACAGCTACCTGAGGTTTTGGTACAGCTACACTATATTACGCTTTCTTCCACAAAATGCTGCGTTAACATAGTTCAATGAACTGTGCTCCTTACTCAAACTATAAGCACCTGTGACTTTTTTGAGTAATATAATTACAGTATCAACCAGCATGGAATAGAATAGTTATTACTTTCAAAGGGATGCTTAAGCTCCATTTGAAATGTGCTTAATGTTAAATAGTCACCAGGGGAATGTATGAGTAGAGAATGAAGTCAGAGTTCATCTCAAACAAACTTTTAAGTATTATAATGCTGCCTTGTCAACAGCAATTCTTAAAAATTCTCAAAGTTTCAAGTAAAGCACTGCATTCCTTGTAATTCCATGTAAATGTAAAATGGCATCTTGTGAAAACTCACTTAAGCCTTTTTCTCTTCTGATTTCATGTTAGCTTAAAGGAACAGTTGTTTTTAGTTACACACGTGGTCAAAATTAGATGAAATGTTTATTCCCTTAACTTACTGTGCTTCTGTAAAGCAATACAATATAGAACATCATTATGCGCAGAACTGCCGTTCTGTCAGGTGAAGCCAGTTTTTGCCTCACCATCTGAAGCAAGTAGATAGCTCTGACCAAGAGACTATAAAAAAGTAACAGTAATCAAATGTATAGAACTGCTGAAGGCACGACTGTAGAAGACCAAGGTTTAGTTTTTGAGACTGTCAAGTACAAGACAGACAATGCGTGTGGTTAAGAAGGTTCAATATGGTTTCTGTCATGAGTGGATTTTTAGGAGTGTTTTAATATTGTACAGATTTTTTATGTTCCTTGTGCCTAATCCTTTATTTTCTGCAGCGCAGAACTGCATAACAGATGAGATGACTTTCACCTGCAGTGTCAAAGTACATTTATAAGCTGTTTATTAGATGAGCAGTTTCTTATCCAAAAGTGGGAAACAGATTGTTATCCATTAAAAGAAGAAAATGGTAATTATGTGATATACATACCAAGAAGACTGGCAGGGAATAACTGAAAGCTCTCATGGTCTGATAGCCAGAGAAATATGTGACCTTCCGTTCAATGAAAGCTCTTAAACTTAGGATTATATTCATAAATCACAAATATCAACTGTCAAGATGTAATTTTATATTCTGTTCTAACTCCTGCAATTCAAGCATAATGCCATAGAAGCTTATAGGAAAACATAGGAGTTAATTCAAATATCTGGAGTAGTTTGTTCCAAGTCTCTATTTGCAAATGCTGACTCGAATTCATTTCAATTACAAGGTGATGTTCTTCTACCTGTTAAGACACTAGACAGTTTTGAAAACTCATGTCCATAGGTAGTATAGATGCTACAGCAATCATTTTTTTTATTCTCTTAAAGAAGCTAATTACATAGTCAGTTTTTAGGTCTTATTGTTCTATGTTCAGCATTTCAAATAATTTCTTAATAGTTTTCTGCTGCTCTTGAAAGGATAATTAACTCAAGAAGAAAACAACTAGGTATTTTTGCACTCTGGCTCTTTGCAAATTAACTTTTTTTTCATATTAGTCCTTCAGTTTTAGTGAAGATGCTCAATTATGTCTTCGTTCTAATGTTCTGAAAAAAGAAAGTGCCTTGACTGGTTTTCTTTACTTCTCTCTTGCCTCCGTAGTTGCATGGTCTATTATCAGCTATTGTCTGTGAGAAGCTGTGTATGAGAAACAACTTTGTTTTGCAAGTGTTTTGTAATAGTGGCTACAGGACCTTAAAAAACACAAAATACTTCTACAAAGCTTCAGATATGCAAAGACTTATCCACTTGGGGTGGAAATTCTATGAGGGGTTGCTAAAGAGACCTTCCTCTTTAGATATATTGCTAGTAGATGGTGATTTCATGCTCAGCTTCACACTGGTCAACAGTAAATTAGTCACTATCATCACACAAACTTTAGAATTATCAGCTTCCTATTTTTATGATTTCACATGTTTTATTTTTCTCAGACTCTAAATGGAGTTAAACAACTTGACTGTTGAAGACACCTGGATAAACTTGAGTAGCCTATGATACCTACAGAGCTCAATAGTCTGTCTGCACTTTTTTTCCAATAATGAAGGAAAAGCATATACAACATAGTGAGGAAAAACGCTATTGTATGTATACACAATAGAAAATGTTTCACAGATGAGAGCATGAGGGGAATCTAAGAGGAAAATAAGCAGTCTTGGGATTTTTAACTGAGTAATCCTTCGTGTCTTTGAAGTACGACTTGATTCCCAGTTAATCTAACTAGATAAAATACCTGCTTTGTGTTCTCCCCTTGCTCCCACCCAGCTCTGTATTGGATCTTTCAAGGTATACGAGCCTCTGTCATAAGTTCTCAAATACTCTTTCCAGAGGTTTTGGTCAATTGTCAAACAAATGTAAAATTCAGGTAGCATCCTCTGTGCAGAACTGCCTTCGAGAGATAAACATCTGCTCTGATGAGCTGCGTAATTATCGTGTTAGCCAGACTATTAAGTTGATAGAAGACAAGGCAACTTCAGTGTTGCCTGGTCACACAGCCCTCTTGACGGTTGCTGTCTCTAATGTGATACACAAAAGTCACACTTGCCCCTGCACTCGTCCATTGCTTTATTGACAGAGCTTTTTATCTCCTATAGATATCACCCAGACCAGTGTGGGAATGTGGCTTACCGTTATGACTTAGAAATTGTCAGTTCTCTAGTGAAGAGAGGACAAATAAAAGTGAAGTTACATATCGTACCACTAGGACAACATTAAAAGGCCTGCAAGTTAAATAAAGAGACGTGGGGCAGAATTTTCTCCGGCAATTTTTCTTCTACTATGAAAAACAAAAATAAGGCACGGTTGGTTTGCTTTCTTATTCATTCAGTGATTCTGCAGAGTAATGCTTAGTCTAGCCCTGGCCTTTTTTAGGGGTAAGGCAACATTTAGCAGGGAGGTGAAACTTTTCAGGTTGTGCAATTAGTGCAATCCCTTAGTCTTTGTTTATTCCAGTAACTATTTTCTGGTAAATCAATGCAAGCAGACTCCTTGATCTTGATACAGATCTAAATGAGTATGGATCCCTTTGTTTTTACTCACTGTGAATTATCTGCACCTATTCATGACAGTTTGCATGATTCTCATCTACTATATTATGAGAACAACAAAACAAACAGATTCATAGAAGATACTGGACTGTAAGTGTGTTTTTATGAATGTGATTTTGCTCTCTCAGGTGCATTTTTTTTTTTTTTGTCTTCTATACCTCATTCTTCCCCAATTTCTCTGCAATACTCAAGAATGGCAGCTCCAGTAATTACATGATTTTGTCTGCTTCAGGTTTTGGAGAACGTAGGCCACAGAAATTTTTAGTGTTTCATTCTTTTTTTCCTCAGAAACTTCATAAATGAACCATGCCATTTAAAAATTCAGACCAAGACCTATGTTCTCTACAATGTCTATATATTTTTCTCTATTCCTCCTTTCACTTTTTGTCATTCATTCACATAGGTTGCTATTTTTGATGGGGAAAAAACGGCAGGAGAAAAAAGAAACAACATTTTATGCCCCTGATGGAGTATGCACCAAATTTAAGTCGAAAATAGATGTGCTCTATGTTTCTTTCATCTGAACAAATGCAGGCAATGTCAAAAATAGCAGAGGCAGGAGAAATAAGAAGCTTCCCATGCACTATTCTTTTTTCTTGTTTATAAAACCTCATTTTTAAAGAAACAAATTTGCATGCAGAAGGTGTTTGGAAATGTCTTTTTCTGAAGTATACAGTCATATCGTTTTGAATGTTACAGATCTATTTAAATTAATTGTGCACAAAATCTACCTTGACTTAATTAAACACAGTTGCCTTAAGAAAGTCTTGACTTCTAACGGTGTTTCTTTTAATTTTCTCTGATGCAGAACCTGCCCTTCAGAACGTCCCCTTAACTATATTTGTTAGTTATTTTCTGAATGACCTTTGGAGTGCTTAAGATAATGTATTCCTGTAGCCAAAACATATTCAGTTTGCCTATTTTGTTCTGCTTTGCTGTTGTGAATAACCTAATGATGTTAAAGTTCTAGTGAAAACCTCCTGAAGCTTAATGTTGGAAAACATAGAATATGTTAAGGAGTCCATGACTACACAAATACTTAAACATTTCTGATAGGTACATCAAAACTCTGACATTTCATCAAATAAGCTGACTGCAGCTGATCTTATCTAATGAAAATAGAATTAGTACTGGACATGTTTGATTACTTATTGGTACATATATAAAAAGCCAGGCTTGGGTGTATGTTTTGAAAAGCCCAATATAAAGAGATGCTCACGGGCATTGAAATGATCTGTAGTTTTGCCTACAATATCAGCAAACAAGTTGCCTTGCTCCTCAGAGGTTATACATAGAACGGTTCTTTGTATTTCCTCTACCTAACACAGCTAACAAACCAAGTGGAATAGAGCAGCCTTCTTTTATTTCTCAAAAACATGTTCTGGGTAAACTGTACCTTAATTTTTTTTCTTCCATCTTTGTAGGGAATTCATAGATTATCTTTCCTCTTATCCTTCCTGTCACTGTTCTCTACTGCCATGAGTGGACGAAGAAATGCATACAATGCTGTTGTCAGTTCCAGCAAGTTGCCAAGTAGGTGTGCATGAGCATAGCTGTCAAGAGCAACAAAAACTATTTTAGATGTTGTGTAATGACCACTGGGGGATCAGTTGTAAACAAAGTAAATGCATCATTCTCAGACTCACTAAGTATGCATTCTACTCTTCTAGTATTTCAGTAGAGACAGGCTTAGTAATATATTTCAGTAAATTGTTTATCCTCTCCATATGCTGAAATCAGTTCCTGGCTATTTTGTTAGCCAGGACATAATTCACAGATAAATTCCCTCCAAAGGTTTTGTTTTCCTTCATTTTCCTTCCTTCACTGATCTTAATATGTCTATTCATCTTTTGAAATGCATGAGATGCGTCTCTACCACAGTTGCCTCTTTGTACTCAATGATCCTTTGCAACTATTTTGTAGTTCTTTAGTCTGCATGCGCACCTGAAAGCATATAACATGTTAGAGTTTGTTTCCCTTCTGGGGGAGAACTGTACTGATGGAAAATTTCAGAAGCCTTATAATAACCTCTAGAGCAGATTAAAGCACTACTAATTTGTCTCAATTCCCTGTATGCATTTTGCAGGTTCTTTATTGAGGTTAAGAGTGAATGGAAAAGGCAGCCAGACTAATTAACTTACGTAATTTGCATCTATGCTGGTAATTACCTAGGAGTTACCGATCTAAAAAGCCGCCTGGTGTTGATTTCTATACTTCATGTTTATTCCTACACGATAACTCTGCTCTTAACCGTAAATTGCCGCCCTCGAATGTATTCTATGTGCAAGAACTAAAGAACAGATCCAACAACAGAAATTCATAGCAACAAAAAAACAAGGAAACAAAACCTCTACAAACAAAGCACCATTGCTTCGATTCCCACGACCGTTAAGTGGCCATTCTTGAGCTTTGTGTTAAGAACCACGAAAGGACTTCCAGAGTGGTGCTGTGGAAGAAGGGGGCACCGCCAGGTGGATCCCCGCCTTCCCACCCAGTTTGGACAGGGACTACATGCCTCGGGCTGCACGATTCGAAGTTCATTAATCTCTACCGAAAGTCTTGCTGCAGATTAGCCCCAAATGCGTACAGGTGCCTCCGTTAACTTCCTCTCTCGAGCACCGTTCCCTTGAGGAACTCTGAGCTACGAACTCGCATTCCCGTTTCCTCACCTCATCGCTTTTTCGGGAAAGAGGTCAGAGCTTAACAGAAACAAGCCACGCGGCCGGACGAGGAGTTGAGTTCCGAGCATCCCTCCAGCCGAGGTTACCGCTTCCCTCCTCCTGGGGCACGGCTGGCCCGCTGCCTCGTCGTCCCGGCCGTGACGCTCACAGTCAGGGACGGCGTCACCGGGCCGCTCCATCACTTCACGCTCTCCGCCGCGCCTCCTCTTCCCGCCCGCTCCCCCGCCTCGCGCCCCTTCCTCGCGCCTCGCGCCCCCGCCTCGCGCCCGCTCAGCTCACAGCAGCGCCCGCAGCTGAGCGCCGCACCCCTCGGCGCCGCCTCCCTCTTCTCCTCCCCTTTCTCCTCCTCTCCTCCCTCCCAGCGGCCGGCCGGAGGCAGGGGGAGCCCGGGAGCAGCGTCCCGACGTGCGGCTAGCCGGCAGCAGGCGGGGTCCCTCGCCCGCCCGCCCGCGCTGACGTCAGGAAACTTTCTCGGCGGCTGAGGCGTGAGCCGGGCGCCGAGGCAGCGGGCCGCCTCCATCCTCTGCAGGTACGGGGCAGCGCAGCGGGGTTCCGGGAACTGCGGCGGCTCTGCTCGCCTTGGGGGTACCGGGGCTCTCGTCCCGTGCGCGCCGGGCGGGGTAGAGGGGAGGGAGCGCCTGTTGATCTCTGCCCGTGGCTTCGAACTTGGCCGGCGGGCGGGACCGAGAGGGGTCCCGCGCCTCGGGGTGGCGTGAGGGGCCGGGGGGGGGGTCGGGCCAGGGGCACGCGGTGCGGGAGAGCTCACCTGCAGGAGTGGCAGCGGCTGGGTTCGGCGCGCGGACCTGCCCGCTCTCAACGGGCTTCTGCAACTACAGCGGTGCGCCTTTGGCTGCGCGGCTTTCTCCTTTAACTTCAAAGCGGTGGAGAGTCCGCAAAGCACCTGAACCGCGCGGCGAGCCGCGGGCGAGCGCTTTGCTCGCCGCGAGGGGCCGAACGCCACCTCCGTGCCCTTCCGCAGCCGCACCGCCCCGTGCGAGGTGCCGCGCGCCGCTCCGCGCGGCTCGGACCGGGCGGCGCTCCGAGAGCCCCGCGCAGGCGGCTCGGGAGCTTCGGCCGTGCTGCTCTTTTGTTCCGTCGCCGCTTAAGAAAGACGTTGAGGAGGTCGGAGGCCCGTAAAGGTTAACTGCGTTCTTCCTGCCAGAGGCGTTTGCCCCTTCCAAACGCTGGCTTTCCTTCTTGAATTTTTTCTCCCCCTTTCGGTTGCCCTGCAGCTGCAAGTTTTTAAAAGTCTTCTTCGCGTAAAAGTGGCTAAAAACAAAACGCTGAACAAACTGGAAAGCCTGGCATGTATGAAGGCGGTTACGAAGCTGTTCTAAATGTGTACAAACACCACATATTTTAACAAAATACTTCCAGTGTACTCACCATAAATATAAACAACACTCATTTTTACTTATTTAATAACGATGTGCTCTGAAATAGTTTTTCAGTAGTTTTCTTCCTCTGTGTCTTAGCCTGAATAACATGTTGGTGGTTCCTTCTGGCTGTTGAACCCGATAAGCCAAACTTCTGTGTTTCTGCTGCAAATGACGGTAGTTGACAAACGTGAAGCAATTCTTTTGAGAAGGAAAAAAGTCTTTTTGGAAGATCGATCTTCTATTTTATGGTGATTTGAAAATGTGCTGAAAAGTTTGCCTTGTTTTTGAATCTGCTTGGTTGATTGTTATGTGAGGGACAACTTCTGATCTTTGGAGGTTATTCACATGTATGCAGGGGAAGGAACCTCAAATTAGTGAGAAAAATGATGATAGTAAACACACGGTTGTTTGCCGTATGCTATTTGGTGTGCATTTGATTTCCCCCACCCCCCTCATAGACACATCCTCATCTGAAGAGGTTGAATAAAGGCAGTGATTCACGGATTAAAAGCCTAGGAAATATGGCACAGTTGAAGGATGCAAAGGAGCAGCCAGATCTGTGCTTTCAGTGGAGCTGTCAAGGCAGGGATATCATGATGAGAACTGGGAAGTGAGCAGAAGCAAGTAGGAATTAGGCTGCCTTAGCAGTGCGGATGACAGTCTTAAACATGATCTGGGCAGCTCTGGGTGTATCTTGGAGTGGTGAGTACAGCAATTAAAATGATTCTGACGCCAAAGGAAAAAAAAATAAATTAAAAAAGAAAATACCAGACCTGGCTCTGTACAGGGCTCTGTGTAAAGTGTTTTAAGTTGAGTAGAAAAATGCAAAGCTGGTGCTGGATGACTAAAGCAGGGAAGATGTAGCTGGTAAGAGACTGGCTGTTCACACAAACTAATGGCAGGTACTGCCTTGTTAGGCTCTGACAGCTTAGTAATCTTTGTGAGGCTTGACTGTTGTTGTAGAATTTAGAAACTGTGTCTACTGCTGAGCCAAATGTTCACCTGATGGGACGTTTCAGAATATCCTTTATGAGCTCATTAAAATAATTTGTTCTTTGCCTTCAAACAGTGGTATGTCTCATGCTTAACAATGTCAGTGAGTAAATGAGTGTATTCATACAGCACTTGTAGATATTACTGGATGCTCCTGAAGTCATAATTAAAAGAATTGTACAAAGAACTGGAGGAGTCAGATGCAATAAACTGGCATTTATGTTACAGTTATAGAATGACTTTTTCTCTTGAGATAATTTGTCAGGAATGTGTTTCTTGAACTTGTCGTAAGAAAATAATTAAAGCTACGGCATGACGCAGTTGAAGAACAACTTCAGCTTCAATAGAGAGACAAATGTAGCTTGAAAAAGATCCAAATACAAGCTACCTTCTCCTTGAACTGCTGCCACACCCAGTGTGACTTGTGGCAGGATGCTGACTGTAAAAGGTTTCTGCATATTACAGGGCACTGCCCTGAGCCTGAGGTCCAGCAACTTCCTTTCACCGTGGCTGATTTCTTAGGACTCTGATATGGTCAGAGCAGCTCAGGCTTTATTTCAAGTTAATCAGCTCTTGAGACAAAGCATCCTGAATTAATCATTTAATTACATGGTTGCATAAGAATACGCTGATTGAGCACAAAGAAATATTTTCCCCATCCCCTTTTACTACAATCTGATTTTGGGAAGGATAAGCACCTTTACAGAATCAGATTGTAGTCTGGATGAAAACAAACAATGCTGTTGTTGCAACCTGCAGAGTGCCACTATGCCACTACTTAAGTGCTTTCTGCAGTTCTCTAACCCTGTCTCTGTGTATATACATGTCTTTTTCATTGAGAAAAAGTTGTTTGTGTCCTTGTTCCCAGTATGTCAGTCCGCTTGTGACGTCCCTTAGATCCCTGGTTCCTCCATGCAGTCACTCTCACCAACCAAGCATCAGTGCTTCACAGAAGACGTCCCATGACTTATATGCATATCTAAGACTGGGAACAATTTGATGCAGCAAATGCAGACTCTCTGTACCATTTCATTTGTGTTTTGAGGACTCACTCGAGTTTTTACCTTTTCCACAGGCACTGAAAGTGCTCTGAAAATGATTGTGAACAGATCTTGAGCCTTAAATATTCTTCCTATCGAGGCTGCAGCTCCACCCAGTCTAATAAGCAGAAGGTCACCTGAAATGCCTCGCCTTGCCTGGTGTGATTTCAAAACCTGTTATGCTAAGTTGAACACAAGGAGCAGGGGTGATGTTTCTCCATAGGTTTTATCCAGCATTTCAGTAGAGAATTTATCCAGCTGGAAACTCATCTTGAATTCCCAGGGAAGAATTTACACTTTAATTCCTCTTCTCTTCTGCTGGTTTAAGCAGATGCTCTAATCACCAAGCTAAGAGGGTACTTTGGATTATTGTAATTTCTTCAGGTTGAAATAGCTTACTTTTAGGGAGTTTAATTGCATATTAGGCAAAGAAAGAATGTAGAAGTTTGCAGCTTAGTGATGCAGACACTTCTGTAGAAGAACCATGGTGTGAGTTATCAACAAGTACATAAGCAGTAAGCTTTCACTGGAGCAGGAAGCAGAATTCAGACTTCATAATGCCCACAGCTTCTTGCAGCTTACTTGATAAGGAGGCAAACAAGAACCAGAAAGCTCTTTAGAGTAAGATACCGTATTGCTTGAACTTCTGCAAAATTATATTCTATTTTCAAAGCCAGGCATTGAGAAATACTGTTTCTTCTTTTATTCCTGAGCCTCACCTACTTGACTTAGTAGTACTGTATGTGCTGCTCACTCTGTTGGTACTGTATGTGTTTTATGTCGAACTCTGAACGTGGTCAGGTTTTGTTGTGAGGACAGAGCTGGGTTTTTGGTTTTCTGATGATTCTGTCAGTGATGTCTGATCAGCATCGCTGTTGTGCATGAGATTGTGCAAGTGCAACCTGGTAAGCTGTTCTCTCACTGATGCAGGTACTGCAGCTGGCTCTATCTTATTTTTTTTCGGCTTTGGAACTAAGAGGTTGCTAATTTTTCTTCTTTGCATTTATTTATATTGTTGCCAGAAATTCAGGGTGATTGTACACTGTAAATAAGAATGCAGTATTACCTGAATGTGGAACTGTATGGGAACTGCTGAGTCACGGCCTGAGCCTCTGATTGATCACCTGAGGTGAGCCATGAATCAGCCAGAGGAGCACAGGTGAAGGCAATTCACCTGTGCTGCCAGAAGGGGTGGAGCCAGGCTCCAGCCCTCCTAGACCTATTTAAGAGCTGGCTGCCAGTGGGAAGGATCTTTTCTTGAGATCCCCTCTTCTGGTGTTTTTTGTAGGTGAGCCTAGCATACAGGTAAGCCTTCTATTTATTCTCTCTTATTATCTTAGTGTACTTTGCCTAACTCTCTTGTTTATTTTGTGATTATGATATCTTTAATATCCATTGATTATACATCTTTAATATCCATTGATTATACAGGAACTGTAGTCCATGGAGGTGCATTGGGCATTCCTGTGTTGCAGAAAGATCCTGTTCCGTGCAAACAAAAAATACTTTTGTTTTAAAAAGCATGTGATGTTCAAAAGCATCCAGCGGCTGTTGAGAGCATGCTGTATTGCTGTAGAGGGGCAGGCCATGCAGATATTCCTGTGTCTGGCAGTAGCTGAGTAGCCTGGTCTCTAGGGTGCTTCAATCTCTTTTTATCTCAAAAATAACATGAAAACTTTAAAACTGCATTCAAATTCCTGCATTATTTTTAGATGA